AGTGTTTTCTCCTATTTTTGGAAGAGTTTGAGAAGAATTGGTATTAAATCTTCTTGAAGTGGTTGGTAGAATTCATGCATGAAACCATTTGATCCTAGGCTTTTATTCGGAGGTTTTTGATTACAGTTTCAGTCTCTTCTTTCTTGATTTCTCTTTTCAACCTCTCTATTTATTCTTGATTCAGTGTTGGTAGCTTGCATGTTTCTAGGAATTTATCTATTTCTTCTACACTATCTAACTTGTTGGTGTATAGTTCATAATCCTTAGATCTTTTTATTTCTGTAGCATCAGGTGTAATGTCTTCTCTTTCATTTATGATTTTATCTGAATCTTCTTTTTTCTTGGTTAGTCTAGCTAAAAGTTTATCAATTGTGTGCAGAAAAAAACCCCCACTAGTTTTGTCAATTTTTTTCTGTTCTCTATTTCATTTGTTTCTGCTCCAGTTTTTATTATTCCCTTCCTTTTGCTAACTTAGGGCTTATTTTGTTCTTCTTTCCCTAGTTTCTTGAGGTGTAAAGCTGGGTTGTTTATTTCAGATCCTTCTTTTTTTAACATAACCCTTGATCCCAAAGATGTTCTCTTCTTTATTTTTTTCCTTAAAATTTTATAATCGTGTGTTTTACATTTAAGAACTTGATCTATATGAGTTAATTTTTGCATAAGATGTGAGGTTTAGGTTGATGTCCAATTGCTCCAGCACCATTTATTGAAAGCACTGTCATTCCTCCTGAATTGTTTTTGCCCCAGATCAGAGGCCAGGGCAGCAAGTTGGATAGGCTAGCCAAGATACAGGAGGGCCTGGCAGGGAAGCTCAGGCAGTCAAGTCAGAGGCATCACTAGCACAGGCAGAGATTTCATGGGAGGGGCTGCAGGCACCAGAAATGTACAAACTGTATGGACAGGACACCAGGAGGCCAAGGATTCTGGAAGGCAGAGCTGCTAAGACCAAGCTGTCTATCTGCCTTTGGTGAGGATCAGCTGCTCAGCCCTCCACATCCAGTGCAATCTTGCCAGCAAATTGGGGGTGCGGGGTACACAAAACACTTGTTTCTTGCCTCAAAGACCCATAGGACCCCGGGAGCGTAGGATCCCAGAACCTTGCCTGTTCAGACCATGTGGGTCCAGTGATTTCACACTCTAAAGTAGCACCAGGGGATGAGTCCACCTGTACCCAAAGGCAGAGCTCGTTGTCAGTCTCTGAGACCCATCCTCTCAGAGCACCAGCCCTCAAAAGTCCTGATCAGCTGGATCTTCTGGAGAATCTTGACTTGTATACCTGGTGTTTGCTGCCATGGCAAGCACCCAGGAGCTGAACAGGCCACAGGGCTGCTGGCCATATAGTCTGTTCTGGCAGATCTACTGTCCTCTCCTGAGTCCTGAGTCACTTACCCCTTTTCCTGTGCTGCATCTGCCCAAGAGACCATGGACCCAGTCAGTAGAGCTTCATCATCTCCTGATCTGACAGTCAGCCCTGAGCATGGGATCTTCTTTGCTCACTTCCCAGATAGGTGGTTGAGTTTAAGCTTGGCCTTCAATCTATTTACCCCTAGAGTCAGGTCACCCTGAGTGATTCCTTGTGGGAGGTAGATCCCTTCATGTTACCTAGGTTTCTAAGGGCTTTCTGTTGACACTTGATCCATGTCACCCTTGAGAGAGAACCTTACAGCAATTATAAATAAGTGGAACTGCCAAATCTACAATGACAATGAGGATTTCAGGAGACAGTAATTTACGAACCTGTATTCTAAGACTGGGCTTCTCTCCAAGGAAGAGGACTGCTCAGTATGGATTAGCATCTGCTACCCAGCCTGAGAGATAGTCACTTGCCTTTTTCATTTTGGTGAAATTTTGCCTCATTTTAGGGTGATGATTTAATCCAAGGTGCACCTATATTGAATATACTTATTCACGATAATTTTAAACATCCATATTTTTGAAATATGACATACATACAGAAAATAGCACAAAACTTACGTGGCCAAAAACAATTTCTAAAGTTAACATCTGTTCAATGCTTGCCCAGATGAATAAGTGAAATATTCATAGCACCCCAGGAACTTTATGTGCATTCTTCCAATTCAATTATCCAAACCACAAAATTAAGCAACTTTCTGACATATCAAGTAAGTATTTCCTTGCTTTTCTTGATAATTTTAACATCTGTGTGATGGACATGTATCTATGTAGTATATATTGTTTTGCCTGTGTGGAAACCTTGGACAAATGGAACCGTATAATAAAGATTATTATGTGCCTTACTTCATTTGGGCAGCATAATGCTTGTGATTTTACCTTTGTTTCTGCATGTGTATAAAGTTCTTTATTTTGAGTTTTGTATAGTATTCTATGGTATGAATGTATGAGTAAAATGCATTTCTATATTCTTCTTTTGAAGGTTTTTGTTTGGTTGTTTTCCATGTATTTGGTAGTTATAAGCACTGCTACTATAGAGGTATCTACCATGTTTTCTGGCTTATATACTCTTATCTACCTTGAGTATATATCAATGAGAAGAATTTGTTTTCCTCAAGGCTGCATAAGTTTAAATTTACTGTATAATGCTGTATTAGTTGCTTGGGCTGTCATAACAAAATATCAGAGACTGGGAGCCTTAAATAACAGAATTTTATCTTCTCATAGTTCTGGAGATAGGATATCTAAGATTAAGGAGTCAAGAGATTTGGTTTCTCCTGAGACCACTCTCCTTGGCCTCCAGAGAGTTGTTTTCTTGCTGTGTTGTCACATGGCCTTTCCTCTGTGTGGATGCATTCCTGGTGTCTCTCCTTTTTCTTATAAGGACATCAGTCATATTGAATTAGGGCCCCACCCTTTTAGCCTTATTTAACCTTTATTTCCTCCTTAAAGTCTCTTTCACCAAATATGGTCATATTGAAGAGTAGGGTTTTAGCATATAAATTTGGGGGAGAAACAATTCAGTTCTGCTAGGCAAAATTGTTAAAATGCCAAACTATACTCCAAAATACTTTTACCAGTCTATACATACACCCACTGGTAATTTATGCTATTCACTAATTTCTTCAGTGTGAATGATACTTGAAAATGTCAGATTTACTGAATTTCACCAACCTTTTAAGTTTTGTCTTAATTTGCATTTTTCTTATTGCCAAAAGTTTAAATGATTTTTTTAAAATTGCCATTTACCTTTTGTAATTCTAATCTAAAGTGGCTATATATGAGTTTTGTAGTCTTTGATTTGAACTCTCTCTCCTTAAATTGTAGAACTTACTGTATTAGTCAGGGTTCTCCAGAGAGACAGAATCAATAGGATATGTTATAATTATATGAGAGGGATTTATTAGGGGAATTAGCTCACATGATTATGAAGAAAAATCCCACGATAGGCCGTCTATAAACTGGATGCTGGTTGTGTGACTCAGTCCAAGTCCAAAGGCCTCAAAACCAGGGAAGCTGACAGTGTTCTTGGTGTAAGTCCTGGAACCCAAAAGCTGAAGAGTCTCAAGCTCTGATGTCCATGGGCAGGAGAGAAGAGTGTATTCCAGCTCCAGTGCATAGAGACAGAGACTTACCTTTTTCCTCTGTCTTTTGTTCTCTCCAAACCCCCAGCAGATTGGATGGTTCCCACCCACATTGAGGGTGGGTCTTTCCCACCCAGGCCACTCAGACTCTCATACTAGTCTCTGCTGGAAACACTCTCACAGACACACCTAAAAAAGATAGCTTTACCAGGTTTCTCAGCATTCCTTCATCTAACCAAGCTGACACCTAGAATTAACCTTCACACTTACTAAATTTATTTATTGCCCATATACTAATTCTAATAACTATAGAAGGCTTAAATATCTTAAGTGTATGGCTTGTCATTTCAATTTTCATATTATTTTTTTATAATAGAGCCCTTTACTTTGCTGAAGTTGGTGTACATGTTGTGATACTTTCTGTGTTTGGTCAGAAAAATCCTGCTCTATCCTGTCACAAATGCATTGTCTCCATGACGTTTTACAGAGGTATAATTTTTTCTTCTCATTTAAGCTTTGCTCATTTGAAATTAAATTTTCTGCATTATTAAAAGCAGAGGTGAAAATTAAAATTTTACTAATTGGATATCTATTGACCCAGAACAATTTTTTTTTAAAGTGGTCATTTTCCAATGTTTTGTAACATCATCACAGCCATAAGTCAAGAATCTAAGTATGCATATACCACGTTATAAGTTTATTCAGCTACTTTTTAACTTAAATTCTATGCCATTATGCCAATAAATAGTTTTTATAAGCACTCTATCTTATTCCCCCCAAAATAAGTGTTTTAGTACAGTCTCTCAGACTTTTTACCTTGCAACACTACCCAGGCATGCCAAATTAATAATTAATACTGTCAACAACGACTTTCTATTATCTAATTTTTATTTCTTTAGTTTTGGTCAATAGTGAAACATACAAAGATATCTTGTTCCCTTAATTTCTCATTTTTATTCCAAAATCTTATTCACCTAGTTTCTCTTATTTCAGAATTGCCTGTCCAAGATTTTCTTCTCGGTAGTCTCTACGAAGAAAACATAAAAAGTAACCAAATATTAAGAATTGTGTCAATTCTCAACTTTCAACACTTTGAAAGTATTATTTGTATTTTACGTTGATAAGTGAGACTCAAATCGTGTTTAAAAAAAATTTATAAGTGATAGGCTTTGCTGACTCTATTTTAATTTTTTTCTTTTTTTGTTTTTTTTCTCCTCTCCACAGTGCCATTTGATGGTTTGAAAGAAGCCCTCATCACTCAGCAGCTTGTGGCGTGACAGGAACTACATTACCCAGAACACTGTGCGCCGATCGTCCCTCGACTTTGGACCAATGAAAGCCAAGAAGAGGGGCGTTTCCACGAGTTTGCAATACGATGGGGCGGGACTTCCGGCACCTTCTTCCTGGAAGTCATTTTGGCTGCTTGTGATTGCGTTCGCTGGATTAGATTCTCCAAATCGCTGGGCCTGGCCCATGTAACTGGAGCTGCAAAGTGCAAAAGAGAAGGCGTTGTCCCCACCACTGTGGAGCGGATCTGAGGTGCAGTGTGAGCGTTGCCTGGGTGATTTGCTTCTGGACGCTTTGCCCGTATCTCTGGCTTTATTACGCGCTACTCTGGGCCCGGCTTCGTCCACGGGCTCCTATGGCGGGGGCTAAGTTAATAAAACCGCCACAGGTGAATGTTGTGTTCACCGGACCCTCGCCCAAATCCTAAAGCCCAGATTATGGATTGCCTGTTCACGTCACTGCTCGGGCCCCTGTTTTCAGACAGTGAGTTGCTCCTGGGTGGAGGTGGGGTTCGCAGCACTGTGGTGAAGGAGGAGAGAGTAGTGTTGCAGACAGTGGGACCCGCACGTGCAGTCTGGGGGTTAAGCTTGAGTCGGGAGCATTCGGGAAACCTGGGTTCCTCCTCACGTATGTAGGGAACAGAGTGAGGAGAAGTGAAGCTTGCGGTGGCACCGTGAGCAACTAGCCCTTCAACTAGAGTGTCTTGGGAGTCACGGAGAGCTGTGACCAGGAGAACACAAACTGAGTTAGGATTTTTAAAGCATTTCATAGGCCGCTCAGGGAAGAACAGACTGGGTTAGTGGTTGATGAAGGTGGACGCAGGGCGACCGGGGAGGAGGCTACTTCAGTAGACTCCCAAGAGAATTATGGTAGATTCCGAACCAGACTAGGGAGAGAAGGGACATAAATAATAAGAATTTTGATACATCATTTAAAAAATAAGGCCAGCAGGATTTTCTACTGCCCATTTGTGCCTGTGAGCAAAAGTAGGGAGTAAGGGACAATCCCAAGTTTTTCTTTTACCTGAATATCTGATAAGAGTTGAGAATGTAATCTGGTGGGGGAGCAGGTTTCAGGGAGAGATTAGAAGTTGGATTTTGGAATGGTGGTTCTAAAATGTCCCAGAGTGCAGTAGTCACATGGTTATGTGGGATCTTAAGTAGGGAATTTAGTGGTAGGGACTGGCTGGTGATGTGCAAGCGTTTACAGGCTGGGACCTGGGCCAAGCCTGAGGCACAAATTTAGAGGGAAAGTCTTAAGGTTTTACTTTGAGATGGGCCCTGAGGCTGGAGGATGGGGAAAAGTGGGTAGGCCTTGTAAGGCTGCCTGCAGATTGGAGGGTCCTGTAGTTCCAGGGATTCTTGGAAAGGGGAGTGTGTAAGGACTAAGGAGCTCTCCTTAGGATGGATTTGCGCATGGGAGGCTGTGTCCATTCACCATTCTGAAAACCCAGCGGGCTGTTCATTCCCTGGGGAGCAAGAGAAAGGTCAGCTAGGTTAGTGGAGCAGGTGCCTCTGCTCTCCCAGGAAAATACAAGTTTAAACTGCGTAGACTTCAGAAATAAAGTTTATGCAAGCAATTAGTAATTGATTGAAATGAAAATGTACCTCTGTGCTCTGAAAATATATATATATTTGGTCTTTGCCATGTGTTCCTGGTAAAGAGCTCCTAAAACCCTTTTAATTTTCTCAGTGAAAAGAGTCTCTTTTGTTATTCATTATGTGCCCCTTGTGATAATACCTGAGTTTTGTTTATTATTTGTTTTTGGCAGTTGGCCAGAGGGGGATCTGAACCTGTGACCTGGGTGCAGTAAATCTGCATAATACCTGAGTTTTATGAGATGGCTTAGGGTGAGAAGACATAGGGTAAGGTCTTTGATAGGCTCAGAGTGGGCCTGGTCACAAGACAGACCAGGTAATTATAGGATTTGAACTTTCAGCCTCACCTCAGGCCTCCAGGGATGGGAGGAGAACTAGAAGATTAAGCTATGTAAAGTCTTGAACAGTGTGATTCAGAAAGCTTCTAAGTTTTGAACACTTGGAAGTGCTGGGAAGGTGAAATTTCCAGAGAAGGAATGGAAGCACCCTGCTGCACCTCTTTTCCCAGTACTTTGCCATATGCATCCATAACATTTTACATCCTTTATAAGAAACCAGTAAATGTGTTTTCTGAGTTTCGTGAATAGTTCTAGCAAGCTATTAAATCTAAGGAGGGTGGTCATGACAACCTGCAAATTTGTAGCTGAGTTGGACAGATTACAGGTAGCCTGGATATTGGCTTGCAACTAGAATCCGAAGTAAGGGCAGTTTTTTTTATGACTGAGCCCTTAAACCTGTGGATTCAGTTGCTAATTCCAAGTAGTTAGTGTCAGAATATGACTAAATTGTAAGACACCTAGTTGGTATCAGAGTGTCAGAATTGGTGTTGGACAAGACAATACATCTTTGTTGTCAGAAAGAAAATCACAGAAACCTCTAATTATTTCATAAAATATCACAATCAAGGGCTGGCTAGTTAGCTCACTTGTTTAGCATGTGGTGCTGATAAAACCAAGGTCAAGGGTTTGCATCCCAATACTGGCTAGTCCCCTTCCACCCCCAATCACATTCACATATATCCTTAATGTTGGGTAAGAAACACCCAGATTTTCAAAAATATTTACAGAAACATTAGTCCTGTGGTCAGTAATAGCTACATCTTAACATCGGACATGTACTAATGCGTTTGATGCTTACAACAGCACTATGAGGTAGCCACCATGAGTGTTTCCTTACAGGTGAAGACAGTGAGTTTCCAGGAGGTTAGGTCTTTGACCAGTGCTGCATTAATTGGCAAGAGCTAGTGCTAAGTACTGACGGTCTGGGGTTATATTTTAGCCCAAGATCACTCTGCCTCCCCAGGAGGTTAGGTCTTTGACCAGTGCTGCATTAATTGGCAAGAGCTAGTGCTAAGTACTGAAGGTCTGGGGTTATATTTTAGCCCAAGATCACTCTGCCTCCGGACAAGGTTGGGAGGGAATAGCTCAGCCTTTGTAAACTCCATTATGATTACATTTATCTCATAACTTTTCTCTTCCCACAGATTTCCATGGCAGCAGAAGAGTTTGTGGAACCATCACAGGTAAGTGGAAGAAGTCCCAGGTCCTCACTGGCCCTGATCCTTATACCCATGGTCCTGATACACAGATGACAGTAGTGTCCTGAGACTCTTTGTCCTTAATCCTGGGCCCCTGGGGTCACTTCAGGATCAGGATCCTTAATCAAGGTTGGAAGTTATAAGGGGTATTCCTATTTCTGTAGCCAATAGAATGAGGTGATGAAGGATTTTCTGGACAAAGGAACCAGCATGTCCAAAAACTTGGACATGAGAATGACTGCATGTTTAGTGACCTGCAAAACTCCATTTTGTCAGCTGAGAACTGAGAGGAAGGGACAGGAGTCATTCCTGGAGTGGCAGATTGAGAAGGAAAGGCCTCTACTGAGTGTGGTGGGAGCTGTGGAGGGTTTGGAGTAGAGGATGGAAGTGGTATGACTCAGGTTTAAACAAACTCATCTGTCAGAGTGGGGAACAGATTGTGGGCACAAGCATGAGACTACTGGAATATTCCAGGTGAGTGTTGATAGTAGCTGGATCATAGCAGTGGCTCTGAAGTTGGGAAAGGAGGTTAATTTCTCTATCCATTTTATAAATAGGGGCGATTTCCTACTGGGCATTGTGAGAGAGAAGTCAGGGATGACCTCAAGATTTTTGGCTTTAAATGAAAGTCTGGAAGTGCCATCTCTTGAGGTAGAAAGTGAGTGGTAGGAGTATTTAACAGAAGTACTATCAGGAGTGGAGTTTTTCTTTTTATGTTTAAAAATTTTTTTAAAGACTTTTTTTTTTTAATAGCAGTATTAGGTTCACAGTAAAATTGAAAGTACAGAGATTTCCCATATGCCCTTGCACCCACACATGTGTCCCCTTCTCCACTAGGAACATCCCACACCAGAGTGTCATGCATTTATTGATTACAGTTGATGAACCCATATTTACACATCATAATCACCCAAAGTCCACAGGCTACCTTAGGGTTCACTGTTGGTGCAGTATGTTGTGTGGGTTGGACAAATGTGTAATGACACATATCCATTATTATAGTATGACAGTATTTCCATTGCCCTAAAAATCCTCTGTCCTCTTTATCCTTCCCACACCTCTACCTCCAATCCCTGATGACCACTGATCTTTTTATTTCTCCATAGTTTTGCCTTTTCCAGAACGTCACATAGATGGAATCAAACACTTTGTGGCCTTTTCAGATTGGCTTCTTTCACTTACTAATACACATTTAAGTTTCTTCCATGTGTTTTCATGGCTGATAGATAGCTCATTTTTTTTAGTGCTGAATAATTTTCCATTGTCTGGATGTACTACAGTTTATTTATCCATTTACCTACTGAAGAATATCTTGGTTGCTTCCATGTTTTTGCAGTTGTGAATGCACCTGCTATAATCATCCAGTCCAGGTTTTTATGTGGATGTAAGTTTTCAACTCCTTTTGGTAAATACCAAGGAGTACCATTACTGGATTTTATTGTAAGGGTATGTTTAGTTGTGTAAGACACTGGCAAACTGTATTCCAAAGTGGCTGTACCATTTTGCATTTATACCAGCAATGAGTGGAGCTCCTGTTGCTCCACATCCTCATCAGCATTTGGTGTTGTCAGTATTCTGGGTTTTGGTTGTTCTAATGAGTGTGTAGAGGTATCTTGTTTTAATTTGCATCTCCCTGATTACATAGGATATTGACCATCTGTTCATATGCTTATTTCTCATCTGTATATCTTTGTTGAGGTGTCTGTTTATGTATTTGGCCCGTTTCTGAATTGTGTTGGTTATTTTCTTTTTTGAATTCTGTATGTATTTTAGATAACAGTCTTATGAGATATGCCTTTTGCAGATAGTTTCTCCTGGTCTGTGGCTTATCTTTACAATCTCTTGACAGTGTCTTTCACAGGGCAGAAGTTTTTAATTTTAATGCAGTCTAGCTTTTCAATTATTTCTGTCATGGATTGTACCTTTGACGTTGTATGTAAAAAGTTATTGTCAAATCCAAGACCATCTAGATTTTCTCCTGTGTTATCTTCTAGGAGTTCTACAGTTTTGCAGGGGTGTTTGCTCCTTTTTCAAAGATCAGTTGACTCCATTTATGTGGGTCTGTTTATGGGCTTTTTATTCTGTTCCACTGATCTATTCATTCATTCTTTCACTAATCCCTCACTAATTTTTATTAGTATAGCTTTATGCTAAGTCTTAAAGTTGGGTAGTGTCAGTCCTGCAACTTTGTTGTTCTACTTTAGCATTGTGTTGGCCTTTCTGGGTCTTTTGCCTCTTCGTGTAAACTTTAAAATCAGTTTGTCCATATCCACAAAATAACTCTCTGGGGTTTTGATTGGTATTGCATTGTATCTATAGGTCAAATTGGGAAGAACTAACATCTTGACAATATTGAGTCTTCCTATCTGGGAACATGGAATATTTCTTCATCTATTTAGTTCTTTTTGATTTTTTTTAGCAGAGTTTGGTACTCTTCCTCATACAGATCTTATATGTATTTTGTTAGATTTATACCTAAGTATTTCATTTTTGGGCTGCTAATGTAAATGATATTGTGTTTTAATTTGAAATCCACTTTTTCATTCCTTGTGTATAGGAAAGCAATTGACTTTTGTACATTAACCTTTTATTCTGCAACCTTGCTATAATAGCTTATTAGTTCCAGGAGTTTTGGGTCAGTTCTTTCAGATTTTCTACATAGACTTCTTTCTCAATCCGTATATCTTTTCTTCCCTTAGCTTCTTGTATTAGCTAGGACTTCCAGTGTGATGTTGAAAAGTAGTGGTGAGAGGGGACATTATTGCCTTGTACCTGGTCTTAGTAGGATAGCTTTGAGTTTCTCACCATTAAGTGTGTTATCTGTAGGGTTTTTTGTAGATAGTCTTTATCAAGTTGTGGAAGTTCCCTCCTAGTTTACTGAGTTTTCATTGTGAATGAATCGTGGGCTTTGTCAAATGCTTATATTGTATTAATTGATAGAATCATGTGATTTTTCTTCTTCAGCCTATTGATGTCATGGATTATATTAATTTTTAAATGTTGAGCCAGCCTTGCATACCTGGGGTAAATCCCACTTGGTTGTGGTGTATAATTCCTTTTATATTTTATTGGATTCTACTTGTTAATATTTTGTTGAGGATTTTTGTCATGTATTTGTGAGAGAGAGTTTGTAGTTTCCTTGTTGTAATGTGTTTTCCTGGTTTTGATATTAGGAGAATATGCTGGTCAGATAGAATGAGTTGGGAAGTATTGTCTCTGTTTCTGTCCTCTGAAAGAGATTGTACAGAATTGAGATAATTCCTGTTTCATGTCATCTAAGTTTTGGCAGATTGTGTCTTTCAAGGAATTGGTCCATTTTATTGAGGTTATCAAATTTGTTGGCATAGAGTTGTTGATAGTATTCCTTTATTCCTTATAATGTGCATAGGTTTTTTCTTTTTTTTTTTTTAAAGATGACTGGTAAGAGGATCTTAACCCTTGACTTGGTGTTGTCAGCACCACACTCTCCCAAGTGAGCTAACTGGCCATCCCTAGATAGGGATCTGAACCCGTGGCCTTGGTGTTATCAGCACCACACTCTCCTGAGTGAGCCACGGGCCGGCCCAATTAAGGTTTTTTTTAAAAGATGACCAGTAAGGGGACCTTAACCGTTGGCTTGGTGTTGTCGCTCTCCCAAGTGAGCTAACTGGCCCAATCCCTACATAGGGATCTGAACCCGTGGCCTTGGTGTTATCAGCACCACACTCTCCTGAGTGAGCCATGGGCTGGCCTGGTTTTTTTATTTCTGACATTAGCAGTCTGTGTCCTCTCTTTGGCTAGACAGAGGCTTATTGATTTTATTGATCTTTTCAAAGAACCAGCTTTTTTTCGTTGATTTCCTGTTTTCAATCTCATTGACCTCTGTTCTACTTACTTCTTTTCTTCTTCTTTGGATTTAACTTGCTTTTTATTTCCCCTAGCTTTTTCAAGTTTAGATGATTCAGTTTATATCTTGCCTGTTTTCTAATACATGCATTCAGTACTATAAATTTCCCTCTGAGCACTGCTTTTACTGCATCCCACAATGTTTTGATATGTTTTCATTTTCATTTAGTTCAAAATATTTCTAAATATCTTTTGAGTATTTCTTCTTTGATTATTTAGAAGTGTTGTTTAATCTCTAAGTGTTTTGGGATTTTCCAGCTATCTTTCTGTTACTGCTTTCTAGTTTAATGCCACTGTGATTTGAGAGTAGACATTGTATGATTTCTATTCTATTAAATGTATGGAGGTGTGTTTTATGGCTCTGTGATGTCAATGGGGGAGTAAGTTCTTTTTGTGATGTCTTTAGTCATCATACCAATCCTGCCATGGAAATTACACTCTGAAAGCCATACAAAATTAAAGGATTAATTATACTCATAGGTCCCAGAAGAGGGAGACACAGCATGCCACACAAAGGACCAATTGGTAGGAGCTCCTGGAGAGTGGGTTCAACCAAGCAGGTAGGGAGCCAAGAGAATGAGGACCCATGAGCACATGCCTTTATTGGGGGTCAGGATGGACTACACAAGCAAAAGGTCTGAGGGGATTTTCCTAGTGTGTTTGAATGTCATTAGGTCATGGTCATGGGAGGGCAAGAAGGGGAACTTGTGATAGAGAGCAGCTGGTCACCTGGGTGTGGTGCTCACAGCCTATTGGTGGGATTGTTGAGGCCTTAGGGAAATAGGAAGTTTTAAAGATTTACAAACCAAGCCCAGGGTGTGGTCCGTCTTGGTGAATGTTCCATGTGAGAAGAATGTGCATTCTGCTGTTGGACAAAATAGTCTAAAGATATCAATTATATCCAGTTGATTAATGGCATTGTTGAATTCAGGGCCGGCCTGTGGCTCACTCGGGAGAGTGTGGTACAGATAACACCAAGGCCACGGGTTTGGATCCCATATAGGGATGGCCGGTTTGCTCACTGGGTGAGCGTGGTGCTGACAACACCAAGTCAAGGGTTAAGATCCCCTTACCGGTCATCTTTTACATTTATTAAGAATAAAATTTTGGGGGCCGAGCCCGTGGCGCACTCGGGAGAGTGCGGTGCTGGGAGCGCAGCAGCGCTCCCGCCACGGGTTCGGATCCTATATAGGGATGACCGGTGTGCTCACTGGCTGAGCACGGTGCGGCTGGTCTCAAAAAGGACAAAAAAAAAAAAAAGAATAAAAGTTTTTATTTTACTTTTTCTGGTGCTCCTTGCTTCATTTAGGTCCGAGTTTTTGACCTATGTCATTTTCCTTCTTTCTAAAGAAGTTCTAACATGTCTTGCAAAGCAGGTCTACTGGTTACAAATTCCCTCAATTTTTGTTTTTCTCAGAAAGCCCTTATTTCTCCACTTTTGAAGAATAATTTCACAGTGTAAACAATTCTAAGTTGGTGAGATTTTTTTTCTCTCAACACTGTTTCACTCCACTTTCTTCATGCCTGCATGGTTTCTGAGAAGTTGGATATAATTCTTATCTTTTGTTTTCTATAGGTAAATTGTTTTTTCTTCTAACTTTTTTGAGATTTGTTTCTTTTTTTTTTTTTTTTTTAAAGATGACCAGTAAGGGGATCTCACCCCTTGGTCTGGTGTTGTCAACCCCACCCTCAGCCAGTGAGCAAACCAGCCATCCCTATATAGGATCCGAACCTGTGGCCTTGTTGTTATCAGCACCACACTCTACCGACTGAGCCACGGGCCGGCCCTGAGATTTGTTTCTTTATCTTCAATATTCTTTAGTTTCCATGTAATTTATCTAGGCGTACTTTTTGGGGGGAGAGTTATTCTACTTGGTGATCTCTGAGCTTCCTGGATCTGTGGCTTGGTGTCCGACATGAATTTGGGGACATTTTCAGTCATTATTGTTTCAAATGTTTCTTCTGTTTTCCTTTTCTTTTGCTTTTGGTATTCCTAGTACATGTATGTTATGTTTTTGTAGTTGTCCAACAGTCATTTGATTTTTTTTTTTTAGGTCTTTGTGCTCTCTGCTTTTCAATTTCGGAAGTTTCTATTGGTATATCTTCAAGCTCATAGATTCCTTTTCAGTCTTGTTCAGTCTACTGATAAACCCTTCAGAAGCATTCTTTGTTTCTTTTACAGTATTTTTGGTCTCTAGCGTTTGTTTTTGTTTTTGTTTTTTATTAGGATTTCCATCTCTCTGCTTATATTGCATCTGTTCTTATATGCCGTGTACTTTATTCATTAGAGGTCTTAGCATCTTAATTATAGCTTTTAATTACCAGTTTCATAATCCCAGTATCTGTGTCATGTCTCATCCTGATGCTTGTTCTTTTTCTTTACATTGTGTTTTTTGTCTTTTGGTGTGTGTCATAATTTTTCTTGATGGCTGGACATGATGTGCCTGGCAAAAGAAACTGCTGCCAATAGGCCATTAGTAATGGGGTGGTGAGGTATGAGGGCAAGGGGTATCATACAACTGAGTCCTGCTGTTAGGTCTCAGTTTTTCATGAACCTATGCCTGTGGACTGTGAGATTCAAAAATGTTTCTCAGTTTTCTCCCTTTTCTTTTTTTTTGTTTTGTTTATTTCTTTCAGTACATGGGAGAAGGTGGCAGCTGGAGGTATTTCCTTTCCTTTGGGTCATTTAGGCTCTAATAATACCTCTGCAGGTTAGGCTCTGTTTAACTAGCATGTCCTAAGATCGGGCATTCTTTAGAAGAACAGTATTATGTCGTATTTTAAAAATCATTCATTTTCTCCTTCCTCTGCTGGAAGCACAAGGGGATTTTTCTTCAGTATTTACTCTGAGAACCTGGTTGAGTTCCTGGAAATAAATATCACAAAATTGTGGGGGTCCTCTATCACTGAGTCCCTCTGGAGTTTTTACTTATCAGAATTGTCCACACTGAGCTTCCAGCAATTCATGAATTAAAATTGAGGTTTTCCTAACCGGGCACTAATTTCTGTGGCAGTTTTCTTTTGTGAGTTTCTGTTCTTGTAAGCTTTGATTCCTGTCTCTCCATTTTGGGAGCAGCAGTTTGTCCTGTGTCCTAATCGCTCTTATAGAATCCTAGAAGAGCTGTTCATTTTTCAGTCTGTTCAACTGTTTACTTGCTGTTATGGAGTGTCAACTTCCAAACTCCTTACATGTAAAACAGGAAATCAGAAGTCTGAGTTAGGTTTTCACAATGTGGAGTCTCATGTGGGGACCTCTGAGTGTAGGTGTGAAGTATGCAGCAAGAGACAAACATCTGCAATTCAGGGAAGGGATTCAGTAAAAGCTATCCATCAGGGGGTGGCTGGCATGTGGACTGTGGCAGATTTAAGAGGGGGACTCTCCATGTCATCAGCAGGGAAGGGTGGGAAAAGTGTTTTCCAGTGACGGGGTCTCTTGCATGGACTTGGATAGAGGTGGTGTAGTCATCATTAAGATGGATGAGGAGGAGTAGTGAGTGACTATGGCTGTATTGGGAGGGTGTCTGGCTGGTGGCACAGGCTTTCAATGGGGAGTAGATAAGAGAGTAATTCAGAGGCAGAGCCATAATGGAGAGCAAATGACACTGAGGTTGGGACTGGTGTTTTTTCTCCTCTTCCCTGGCTCAGTGTTTTTTGAAAGCTCTTTTTGGAGCTTGAGTTCCAGACAGTATAACAGATGAGCTTAGGAGCAAATGAGATTGACTGGGAGAGTCATTCATTCTATGACAGTAGCTTCTGGGGGCTGGACTTTGAGTGTAGATGGAAAGAGGAAAGATGTGACTAGTGTGGGTGGGGACAGCACATGTAGCTCTGATGAGGAAGAGGACTTAGGCTTCTGAGTTCCACACAAGGTCTGGATGGCTGAAATTGGAACAAAGAGCCAGGCCAGATGGGGAGGTCTTCATAACAGTGCTGGGATTGCATATAGGTTGGGTCTAACAGAGGTTTGGGATATTGCTGGATCCTGGTTGCATTTGGCAAGCACTGCCTGGATCCCTTTAGCGCAGAGCATGTGGGGAAGTCAGTGGGGTGCCTGTGGTGCAGACCAGGGAGTAGCGGTGATGTTACAGATGTAGCGGCCATGGCCTAGACATGTGACGAAGCTGTGGTCCCAAGAGTGATGTGCAAATGGGGAGGGAGAGTGAATGGATGTACTCAGGGTTTAAGCCAGGAGGGTGAGCACAAGCTCGGGTGTATGTGGCATAATCTAAGGCTCCAGGGAAATTGATTGGCAGGAACAAGGATGAGATTCTACATGCCAGGCCCAGAGCTCACTTGGTACCACCACTCTCCCCATCTGGTGATGATGTCTGGAGACATGAATGATCAGTGGGACATGAGGAGAATAGCAGGTAGCTGGGGCACCAGGACCTGTATCTTCTCTGAGTTGGGGAGCTGGAGAGCAGAGTGATTTACTGGGGGTCCTGGGGATTGAGGCTGCTCTTGACTCACGTGCCCCCATCATGACAGGACCATGTCACCTTTGAGGATATCGCTGTGTACTTCTCCCAGGAGGAGTGGGGACTACTTGATGAAGCTCAGAGGTGCCTGTATCATGACGTGATGTTGGAGAACTTTTCACTTATGGCTTCAGTGGGTAAGGTCCTTCACAACCACAGTGTTGACCTCTGCTGGGCTCTGGCTCTTCCCCTTTTTTCAGGGGTCACCTTGTCTTTCCCAGAGCTGGATCATGAGCTTCCTTCCCTGGTTTCCTGATAAAAGTGCTGTGTTTGCCAGGCCTGGGTTTTTTGCAGCCCCAATATCTGCTGACCTGAAGTCTTTTAGTCAAGGGTTTGGGTTCACAGTCTTTTAGCCTGCCCAGTTGATGCCACTTAGCTTTGCGTCTCCTTGCTAAGGTGACTGTTAAGGTCTGTGGGAGACCTGTGTCACAGGTTCTTCCCCTGCCTGTAGTAGATATTTCTTGGGACCTGTCTGTGTCAGGAATGACAGGCATTTACATGGTCACTATTTCCAGGGATCAGTAGGCTATGACAGCAAGACCCTCTCCAAGGTTCTTTTTGTAATAAATTTCTATTCTGTAGTCTGTCATGGGTTGGGACAAATTATCTTCCCCTTAGGATTTCTACCTTCCAAGTCCCAGGTAGTCTCCCAGCTTGAATCAGGGCATGCATTAGAGGTCATGTTCTTGACAGAATGGAGAATTCTCCATCTAGCCATAGCAAGAGGGGTTAATAGTGAGTAGGAGCAGTCAGAGGGCATGATTTTGGGGCTAAGCTCAAATCTTGCCAGGCAAATGTCTTGTGCTCACCACTATTTTGGTGCCAAGGCTTGTGGCCATATCTTATCTCTGTCTTCCCTCCACCTGCTTGACATTTTGCCCACTTCTGTGACTTCTGACCACTGGCTGTCCCCCATATCCCTCCAGTTCCTCTCCCTCTACAATGTTTTCTGATTTTAGCCTACACTTAATGTGTCATGAGATGTGCGTGTATATTTAAAGAATCCTTGAACATCAGCTACTCAGTCCCAGTTGCATTTTCCTGGGGTGGGACACAATTCTACACAGATCTCACCTGTCCCCAGCAGACTTGGTTCTGCTTAAAACCATTGACAGGAGTGAGTTGTATACCCTGCTTCTCTTTTCCCCACAGCACCCTACTCCTTGTTTTCTTGCTGGTTGTGGGGCCTCCCCCACACTGTGATTTTTAGAGGTCTGATACTACATGCACACTCTCGTCTTCCTTGACCTGATCCATCCCAGATCCTTTGTCCTGAAAACAAACTCATGTATTCATTCCTGCCTGTGTCATATAGGTATTTGTAATGGGGTTGTTCCCTCCCACCAAAGCCTACATACACATTTTACTCACGTTTTTGTGCTTTCAGGTTGTTGGTCTGTAATAGAGGCTGAGGAGGCCCCTTCTGAGCAGACTGGTTCGACAGAAGGAGTGTCACAGGCCAGGATTTCAGAGCCAGGTGTGTCCATTCCAAATGCTTATCCCTGTGAGATGTGTATGCTGGTCTTGAAGGACATTTTGTACCTTGCCAAGCATCAGCAAATACTTCCTGGGCAGAAACCATACACTTGTGTGGCATGTGGGAAACAATTCTCATTCAGTTCAAACCTGAACCAGAAGCAGCACAATGAAGAGAAACACATCGGAACGGAAGAGAACAGAGCCCTGCTTGTGAGGAGTTGCAAAGTCCCAGTGTCAGGCAACTTTTTAACATGTGAAGGTGTTGAGAAGAGTTTCCTGGTCAGCCTGGGCCTTCTCCAGCACCATACCACCCACAACAGAGGGTATCCACATAAGAGCAAGGAGACCTTTCACCCTCAGCAAAGGCATTACAAATGTAGCAAATGTGAGCAAGTTTTTGATGAGAGGATTCATGTCATTGAGCATGAGAGAGCTCACACTAAAGAAAAAGCTTATGAGCGTAGTAAGTATAGCAAATCCCTGAGCTCCAAATACTCACTTGTTGAAAAGCAGAGAACCCATAATGGAGAAAAGTCTTATGTGTGTAACGTATGTGGGAAGTCATTTCGCCACAAACAAACACTTGTTGGGCACCAGCAGAGGATCCACACTGGGGAAAGATCTTATGTTTGCATTGAATGTGGGAAATCCTTGAGCTCCAAGTACTCACTTGTTGAACACCAGAGAACCCATAATGGAGAAAAACCTTATGTGTGCAATATATGTGGGAAGTCATTCCGCCATAAACAAACATTTGTTGGGCATCGGCAAAGAATTCACAGTGGAGAAAGGCCTTATGTGTGTATTGAGTGTGGTAAATCCTTTATTCAATCTTCCGACCACATTCGACACCAGAGAATTCACACTGGAGAAAGAGCTTATGTGTGCAGCGAATGTGGGAAATCCTTTATCTATAAACAGTCACTTCTTGATCACCAGAGAATCCACACTGGAGAAAGGCCTTATGAGTGCAATGAATGTGGGAAAGCCTTCATCCATAAAAAAAGACTTCTTGAGCACCAAAGAATTCACACTGGAGAAAAGCCTTATGTGTGCATCAAATGTGGGAAATCCTTTATTCGATCCTCTGACTACATTCGACACCAGAGAATTCACACTGGAGAAAGGGCATATGAGTGCAGTGAATGTGGGAAAGCCTTCATCTCCAAGCAAACACTTCTTAAGCACTATAGAATCCACACTAGAGAAAAACCTTATGAATGCAATGAATGTGGGAAAGGTTTTTACCTTCAGGATAAACTTCTTCAGCACCAAAGAATCCACAGTAGAGAACAATCTTATGAGTGCAGTGAATGTGGGAAAACCTTCAGCCACAAAAAAAGACTTTTTGAGCACCAGAGAATCCACACTGGGGAAAAGCCCTGTGAGTGTAATGAATGTGGGAAATGCTTTAGACACCGCACCAGCCTCATTCAACACCAGAAAGTTCACAGTGGAGAGAGGCCTTATAACTGCACTGCATGTGGGAAGTCTTTCATCTACAAAAACAAACTTATTGAACATCAGAGAATTCACACTGGAGAAAAGCCTTACAAGTGCAGCAAATGTGGGAAGGCCTTCAACAAAAGGTATTCCCTAGTCAGACACCAGAAAGTTCATATAAGAGAAAGGCCCTAGCTACTCATGGGATGTGATATCACCTTGTTCACCATAACACATCAGAGAGCAGATTTTTCGAGAGATTCATCAGACAGAAGTTGAACCTTGTTCATCTGAAGATCAACAGTTGGAATATTCACTATGAGGTCCAAGTACTTGGGAAGCTTTCTGGAGCTAACTTGCACTTTCTAATCTGCCCAGCACTGCAACAGGCACTGCCATCTAATATATCCACGTGGTGTCCATCAGTCACTGCAGTGTGCTCAAGGAATCTTTGTGCTCGTCAAACCCTGAAGAGAGTCATGAATAATGTGAGCTTGTTGGGGGGGTCTACCATCCTGCTGGACTGTTTTAAATGTGGCCAAGAAGAGCCATTTGGGTTCTTCTGGTGGCTTTTAAAGGATTACCTTCTTCACAGATATTTTTTTTTTCATGTGATTGTCATGGTGGACTTTTCCCTACTCTACATCACCCAAAGGAAGCAGCCTGTCTCACTGAGTGCTGACGCACTAATAAACACCTTATTGTTTAGCCACCTTTAATATTGGAGGTTGTGTGCACTGTGGGGTTGGGTTTAGAACAGAATTGTGTTCTGCCAGTCTGGAGGGTGAACAGCTTTTGTGGGACCCCCAACCTTATGTGCCCCAGGGACACAGTGTGACATCAGAAAATAATGCTTGGTCCTTTTTGTCTTAATTTTCATTGCTTCCTTAGGCCTCCTAGGAAAGACCACAGAGCTGTGTGGTCCTTATCATGTCATGTGGATGCCAGATTTATTTGTAGGTCCAGAGGTCTTCCTGAGAAGAGGCATTTATGACAAACTCAAGTGCTGGGATCTGTATGAATTGTTTCTTCGTTCCCAGTAATGTCCTATATTTTTTGTCACTGTTCATGGGAGGGTGTTTCCTAGGTCCTTTAATATAGGTGTGTGCACTGAAGGACAGAATGTGGTAGGCAGGTGTCACTGGTTGTAAGACCTACTGGGGCCTGGTAAGAACCATATTTGATCCAGAGACCTAGGTGTGATAGAGTGAGAAGATTGCAGCCAATTACATACAGTGAATGTGTTCCATCTAAAGGTGCATTCAGAAATGTCTGTTACTGTGGTTTCACAGTTGGGGGGTGTATAGAATTTTCCAGGCCCTCCAGGCCTTTGCTTCTCCTGTTGCCACAGTCTGTCAGCTTAAGTAATTGGAAGATTTTGTCGACTCCCATAATTTTTCTGCACCATTTGCTGCACAGGTAGAAAGCAAGGTTTGAGAGAACATAGACCTTGTAGATAGGGGTTTTTGTGATTTAGCCAGCCTTCCTTACTTGCCACTAATTCCTGCCACCAGAAGGGCTCTTCTTCCTAATTTTTGAGAAGATGAATACTTGATTATAAGTAAATCTTGTGTTATCAAATAGTCCTGGATTTCCAAAAAGAGGGGTAGATGCATATTTTTGAGAGGTACCACTTATTTTAAACATTGGCTTGGAATTTTCATACAGAAGACCTTTTCTGTTATTGAAGATCTTAATACGGTTTGTCATATTATTATTGAGTTTTGATATTTCTTCATGTAGTCCCAGTGAAAGTCTTGTATTAGAAATATATATGTGGGCCGGCCTGGTGGCGCACTGGATAGCTTTTTTTTTTTTCATTTGGTTTTCCAGAGAAAAAAGTTCTTAATTTTGATGAAGTGTATTTGTCCATTTGTTTTTATACTGACTGTTCTTTTGGTGTTATTAAAAGAAATGTATTCCTAATTTAAAGATGTAATATGTTTCCTTCTGAAACTTTTACTGTTTAGGTTTTCTGTTTATATCTATGATTATATATATGTTTTTTATGATAATATTTTTATTTAATTTTTGTAAGTTCTTATTTTTAATATGGATACTCAATTTCTGCAGGAACATTGATGTAAGAATAGTTTTTCTTCACTGAGTTGCTTTTGTAACTTCATTGAATATCATTTGATCATTATATACGTTTCTTTCTGCACTTTCTATTTTTGTTACATTTATGTATTTGTATTTATGTCAATATTTTCACGTGTTGAAGTCAAATGATTTCAGTAAGTCTTGAAATCAGGGTCATGTACCCCAACTTTTTTCTTATTCAAAATTGTTTTGGCTATCCTTGGTTCTTTGCATTTGCATAGAACTATTTGTCAATTTCCACAAAAAAAAAAAATTCTGGGATTTTGATTGGACTTGCATTTAATATATAGATCAATTTAGAAAGATGTATTGAGTGTACCAATTTCTAAACATGAGATATCTCTTATTTAAGTTTTAATTTTTTCTTACACTGTTTTTGTTTTCTGTGTATACATCTTGAAAATCTTACATATCCATGTATGTTTTACATCTGATACTATTGTACATTTTAATTGTATGACCATTTTAAAATTTTTCTGTATTCTTGATCTCTGGCATTTGGGTCTTTGATCCTGGAGGAATTGCACCTCTGTCTTAGTCTGTTTTGTGTTGCTATAACAGAATGCCTGAAATTGGGTAATTTATGAAGAACAGAGGTTTATTTGCGTCATGGTTCCAGAACAGCTATATCTGGCATGGGCCTCAGGCTGCTTCTACTCATGGCTGAAAGTGACACGCAGCTGGTGGGTACAAGCAGATCACATGGTGAGAGGAAGCAAGAGAGAGGGGAGGTGCCAGGGTCTTTTTTAGAAACCTGCTCTCGCAGGAGCTAATAAGAGATCTCACTCGCGCCTCTCTCCCCCCAGGGAGAGCATTAATCCATTCATGAGGGATCCACCCCCCTGACTCAAAGAGCTCCCAGTGTTGCCACATTGGGGATCACATTTCCACATGAGTTTTGGTGGGGACAACACATCCAAACCATCAACCTCCAGGACTACCTAATTCCTAGAAATAACAAGCTACTTCCCTGTGGCCATAACTTCTATATACAAACTAATCAATCCAAAGCCCACATCCAACTATCTTTATATCAAAATCTCACACCAAGCCATTATTTCCCCTGTGTTAAATCACCCCAGGGTCCAGGTGCTGGACATCTGGGGACCACCTCTGTAGCCCAGAGTCACTTGAGATTATTCAAACTACTCAATCCTAAACTTACTCAGAGTTCCTGCTTTGTCCTGCCCATTCCTTCCTGCGTGAATTGCATTCAATAAAGGCTGTGGGCTATGCTCCCCTCTCCCCTTCTGCCTCCTGACCAATCCTGGTCCTTCCCCACATGGCCCCTCTTGGTGTGCCATGCCTCCTGTTTCTAGGTGTCTGGAAGTATAAATTTCCTTCATAACACTCATTTCTGTGTCTGTGTTGGTTTACTAGGTTAAAACAAGTCCCACATTTATTTCAATACAGAAGTTAATTAAAAAAATTTTTTTTCTATTGTTCATTACTGTTACATAGAAATAGAATGTTAAAGTGGATCTTTGTTCATCAAACTTTAGAAACTCGGTAGTTCTAGTAGTTTTATTTTGCTTCTCTTTTTGTAGACCCCAGAGGGTTTTTTCTCCATAAAACACTTTTACTTCATCCTTAAAGGTGGAATCTGCCATTAATTTTAGACTGTTCTTTTGTTGTTTTTAATATTGGTGTTTGAGTCTGTAGGTTTTTCTCTATTGCTTTAGCAGCGTCCCACAAATTTTGTAAATTGTCCATCTATTAACATAGAGTTAATTTACAACTAGACTGGAAAACTGCCAACCTTGTCACTTGGGACTTCTTTTGTTGTTTTTAATATTGGTGTTTGAGTCTGTAGGTTTTTCTCTATTGCTTTAGCAGTGTCCCACAAATTTTGTAAATTGTCCATCTATTAACATAGAGTTAATTTACAACTAGACTGGAAAACTGCCAACCTTGTCACTTGGGACTACTGGTTGTCTAGCTTCTACACTTTTGCTGAGATGGGCAGTGGGATTTATGTGCTGTTTAAAGTTCAGAAATTCCAAGGTGAAAACCAGGACCAGTTTGTTTACTGATGATTTTCAAATAAGTAATTAGGCAGTCTAGCTTGATTGACCAGGAGGGCATAAAATTCCTGCCTTCAACTCCTTGATTTCTCTGGACTGTAGATGAATCATACCAACATGCAAATACAGAAGCTGCAGAGCTGTGCCAGCATCCCTCTCAGACCCCTCATGCTGACATGAACTCCCTTTATCTTGCTGTCTATCTTTGCTCGTGAAAACCTCATGTGGGTAGGCTCTTTGAAGAATTGTCAATCTTTTCAGTTATCTGAACTTGTGAAATCTTCCCAGTTATGAGAATGGGGTGATGGATGCCACTCTCAACTAATGACTGTAAGGTTGTTGGGAAAGAAGAGTAAAAGGGGTGGTGTGGGTGAGGAACCTTTGTTGTAGTCTTGATTTTAGGTCATCCCATGAGTTGTGGTTGCACAAGCATTGCACTCACTGATGGCAGGGAAAGTAGGCATCAAGTGAGGTGTGGTGGAAGAGAGAAAATAAATGGATGACAAAAGAAATTCAAGGAGGAGAAATTGGCCAGGAATGGAGTATCAATAGTTTGTCAGGAATAGAAAATTGTTTTCAACAATTTGGTAACAATGATGGTTTCCAGGAATCATCTGCATGCTGCTAGAGCTGAAGAGTTAGGGCCTGTGATTCAGTATCTTACTACAACTTCTAACTTAAGGCTGCTGACCCAGTTGATTGATGGCATGATAAAAAGGGGAAAGGTAATGTGAGGGGTGCTATTTTCCTTGCTCAGTTCTCCTAAATGGAGCTTATTTACAGGAAAAAAATATTCTGAGGACAGGGAAAAGTAAGAATGCAAGGGATGAAAAATCAATACAGTTGTGAGTGGAAGTTTCACATGATTGATTTAAAATGGCATTTTAAAAAGGGGGAGATGGACTAGTTCCTAAAACTTGACTGGATCACTGTGAGAAATAGGGAGTCCTGCTTGTGAACCAACTGCTCAGACTGTCAAAATAGCCAGAATGTTTTCTCTTATTTTATCCTGTCCTGATGAATGTAAGTTGTCAGATGAATAAAAGGATGGGTCTATAATCTCTTTAGATCCTCTTTGGATTAGACCACCACAAGGCAAAGAAAAGGATCATGACTGATTGGGGGGCCAGGCTGTCTTGGCACCACCCTGAGCAGGGAGCCCAATGCCATTTTCCTATTTATAGGTGGTGACCTGGAGTGGTGATGAAACATTATTAGAATTGCTGGACACTAGTGCTTAGTGTATTGTTGCATTTAAACTAATGAGAAGTTAAAGAGCAATGTAATTACAGGGATATGATGCAATAGTAGCATGGTGAAAAAGTAGATGATAGTGTTGTTCATAGTAGGATTTTATAAATGAAAATCATGTGTTGTTGTTGCTTCATCCTTATCAGAATGTATTATTGGAAGGAAAGTAATGTCGGAATGGGGCAGTCTTACTGAAATTATTGGGAAAGGGTTGCCATGTAAATCTGCTTAGTGCTGTTTTAAGTGGGCATGCCAGATGGGAACATTTGGAATTACCTAAGCCAACTGAGGTGATTAATATAAAACAATGTGGGTAACTTGGGTAGAGAAGATGGGCT